TGCAAATGGCGTTATGTTGTCAGTTTTTATGGCTGAGTAGTATTCCATTGTATAAATATACCACATCTTCTTTATCCAGTCACCTATTGATGGACATTTAGGCTGTTTCCATGTTTTGGCTATTGTAAATATACTACTATACTTCTGATTTAAGTACAGAGCAGATGGAAATTTTCCTCTAAGCTTTGGTTTCTTCAAGGTTTAAACCACGATAACAGTCTTCTCAGAGGCTTATTACGAGGATTAAATAAATTAGTCATGAAAAACTCTGCTGAGACATAATATCTAGCATATGGTAAAGCACTGGAAAAATGCTTACAATTATCTTCTATTAACTAACCAAAGCCTACTATTAGAACAAGCTATCAAAATTGCCAAGAAGAGAACATAGGCAAAACACTCTGACATAAATCGTAGCAATGTTTTCCTAGGTCAGTCTCCAAGGCAAGAGAAATAAAAGCAAAATAAACAAATGGGACCTAATAAAACTACAAGCTTTTGCACAAAAAAGCAAAGGAAACCATAATCAAAACAAAAAGACAACCTATAGACTGGGAGAAGATATTTGCAAATGATGCAACTGACAAGGGCTTAATTTCCAGAATATGCAAACAGCTCATACAACTCAATAAGAAAACAAACAACTCAATCATAAAATGGGCAGAAGACCTAAATAGACATTTGTCCAGAGAAAACAAACAGATGGCCAATATTGTTCAGTATCACCAATTATCAGAGAAATACAAATCAAAACCACAATGAAGTATCACCTCACACCAGTCAGCCATCATGGGGGGAGGGTATAGCTCAGTGGTAAGAGTGCATGCCTAGAATGCACAACGTCCTGAGTTCAGTCCCCAGCACCTCCACTAAAATAAATGAATAAACCTAATTACCTACCTCCAACCCCCCCAAAAAAAACAGAACCTGGGTGAAAAATAAAGTCTAACCTTTAAAAAGCAAAATGGCCATCATTAAAAAGTCCACAAACAATAATTCTGGAGAGGGCTTGGAGAAAAGGGAACCCTCCTACAGTGTTGGTAGGAATGTAAATTGGTGCAGCCACAGTGGAAAACAGTACAGAGGTTCCTTAAAAAACTAAAAGTATACCTATCACATGATCCAGTAATCCCACTGTTAGGGCATTTATCTGGATAAAACTGTAATTTGAAAAGATACACACACCCCAATGTTCACAGCAGCACTACTTACAATGGCCAAGACATGGTAGTAACCTAAGTGCCCATCAACAGATGACTAGATAAAGATGCAGTATATATACACAATGGAAAATTACTCAGCCATTAAAAAAGAGTGAAATAATGTCATTTGCAGCAACATGGATAGACCTAGAGATGATCATAAGTGATGTTAAGTCACATAGAGAAAGACAAATATGCTGGAATCTAAAAACGAACACATGAACTTACTTACAAAACAGAGCTCACAGACATATAAAATAAACTTATGGTTATCAAAGGGGAAGGGGGTGGGATAAATTAGGAGTTTGGGATAAGCAGATATAAAGTATTAAATATAAAATAGATAAACAACAAGGTTCTAATGTATAGCACAGAGAACTACATTCAGCATTTCGTAATAACCTATAGTGAAAAAGAAAATATACGTATAACTGAATCACTATGCTATATAACAGAAACATAAATCAACTATACTTCAATTAAAAATAAAACTAAACCAATAAAAAAAGAATAAGTTATTAAAACACAAAGTTAAAAATAGGAAATAAAATATTCCATTGTCTCAGAAACTTTCTACAAAAAAGCTTAAAAAAATTTTTTAACTCGCTAAAAATGTAATTTTTAAGTACTTTAAAGAATGGTTTAACACAACTTAGGAACTTCCATTTATTTATAGTCATGGTACCATGTGGAGTAACGGATGTAGGTTTAGATAATATTGAATTAAGGAAAGTCCTCATTTTGCTGCTGTTACTATAGCAACATGCTGCCACCTGGTGGCAGTGTACCTACTAATAAGTTGAGGGAACAGTCCTAAGGAAAATAGCAAACCTTTAACAACGAAATGAAAATTAAAATTTAAACATCATGCACTCAACAAAATTGGGCAGTAAAAATAAACTGAGATGACAAAAGGGACATCATTTCAAGGAAACAGAGAAGCATAATGGGTCAATATGGGTCAATTTCTCTGTACTTAAAAAAAAAAAAAAACTTGTCCCTGCCATCCTACCCTCCAAGGAAATAGTAAGCAGCAGCAACTGCAGCCACTGGTGCCACTGCGAGGTTCAAACAGTGGATCACAAAGGGCAGTTAACTTTTCAAATAATTTTGCCCAATAGTATCTCTTTCTCCTCACAGGTTCAATACTGTAACAACCCCTCTGCTAGAGAAATGTTTAGACTTCCTTCAGAGGGAAATGTTCTCATATTATTATACTGATTCTACTTGTATAAAATAATCTTTTCCCCCTCAATTAAAATTTATGTTTTCATTTGTCATCAGTAAACCCCTTGGTAAAAAGTTGAAATTATCAAACCTGCTGGAACTACGGGATCTTCTTGATGCATTGTAACTTCTGGGTGGTGTTCTGGATTTTTTATCCTTCTTTCTTTTCTCATCCATCTCTTTGGATCTGTCCTTTTCTCGTTCCTTTTCTTTGTCCTGTTCCTTCTCCTTCTCTTTGTCTCGTTCCTTTTCATGTTCTTTTTCCCGCTCTCTCTCTCTGTCCTTCTCCTTGTCTTTCTCTCGGTCCTTTTCCCGTTCTTTATCCCGGTCTTTATCTTTGTTTTTGCCCCGTTCTTTTTCTTTTTCACGTTCCTTTTCCCTGTCTCTCTCTTTTTCCCTTTCCTTTTCTCTATCTTTTTCTTTCACTCTTTCCTTTTCCTTGATTTTTTCTCGGGTGTCTTTTCTTTTGTCCCTTTAAAAACAAAAATAAGTAAGTTCACAATGGAAATTATTCTACTCCCCAAAAAAGGACCTCCTCCTCTTCCCTCAACCACTATCAACATAAAACAATTTATAATAGCTATAAGACATTATGCATAAGTTTCTATATAATTCATGTGCACATGAAGCTACTAAATGATATAATTACCAGGCTGAATTAAGAAGTCTGGAAACCTCACAAGTCATACTGACCATCAGATTCAAATCAATGGCAATTAATATTAATCTACTAAAATAATCAGAAGAAAGTTTAACTTCTTTCATTAAAAACCTAAACCACACAGTTTTTTAACAAATGATGCCATGAAAAAATTAGCCTTATTTTCCAAAAACTCACCGTGAACGCGAACGACTTCTTGACTTCCGTCTCTCCCTTGATTTAGAACGTTTTTTATGAGGGCTCTTAGATCTACGTCTATCCTTTTGTCTTGAACGTGATCTATTATGGGATCTACTCCTAAAGAAAAGCAAATCTGTTAGGATCTCAAAACTTACTAAGAGTTTCAAATTTTAAAAATTTAAGACCTTTAAAATAAGAGAATTGTAAAACTGACCCTGACAGTATCAATATTTTAAAACTATCCACTATGTTTCAGACTATCTGACACAAATTTATTGGAAACTTTACCAGATAGTTCATTGTCAAGAACACAAAGACAGAAGCAAAGAAAGAATTTAAGTTATTTCCTATGTCAGACTTAAAAGTTGATATTTTCAGCTATGGCTTTGTTTTGCTAATTCTCAGATGGCTCAATTAGTACAGAAGATTTCTCCCATGGTCCAAGTCCTCAAACCATAAATTGTAACTCTTGACTTCCATGTAATACGACTACTTGTGGTTATAATTTATCCTACCAGGGAGCAGTGGTTATATGGCTCAATGGTTTCTATAAATGGCTGTATGCTGTCTTAAGAAAATGTATAAAGAAGCACGTAGTAATGATGGTGCTAGTATGACAGGAAACCAAACATCATTACCCATGAGTCCAAGCTAAATATAATCAAGTGTTGAATTTGCAAAGCCTTGATTTTATCATTATATAAACATAGCTATAAAAAGAAACCTTTATTACTGGAATTCTTACAGGAAAAATAACTTGTTTCAATTCTGAAATTCTGTAGGCTCCTTTCCCCCTGAAATAACAGCTTAGATAATGTGACTTTTTTCATGAGGTATCCTAGAAACTGTTTGTTAAAATATAACAAAATTGAATCCATACAACTTAAATAACAAAGTGATGAGACTCACCGGCTTTGGAGTCAGACAATCTGGCTCTGACACTCAGCTCTGCCACACACTAGCTGTGAGAACTATGGCTAGTCACTCAACTTCTCTAAGCCTGAGTTGTTTCATCTATAAACTGGAGTAAGAATCATACCTACATCTCCTAGCTGTCATGAGGATTAAATCAGATGATATATGGAAAATTGCCTAACAGTCTCTGGCAAAGAGTAAATGCATAAAACTCTTAATTCCCAGTATCAGCAGCATCATCACTATTAACAATTAACAGAAATGTAAACTCTAAATCTTTATTCCAAGGTCAAATGAACTTCCACAAGTATGCCTTATATAATTAAAACTCATCCTGATAGTAATATTTTCATGAATTAAGTTAAAACAATAATCTATAAAAGAAATATAGTTAAATGCTTGTGATGTGCTATGAAACTAGAAAAATCTCCAGACAGTCCTCAATCAACAATGAAGTCTTGTTTACAAAACACATTTTTCAATTAGTTAAAATTTATTTCCCAAAAGCTAATTTTCAACTGAACCACTCCACTCATCTATTATATGGCTTTAAAAATTATACATTTATCTTCATACCACATTTTTAATACAGGAAGATAATTCAGTTTGTTGAAATGTTTATCATTAATAACCTAAGAGACAGAAGGGTCAAGTAGTACAGTATCACGGCAAAACTGCAAAATTTAACAACATTTTTAGTCCATTTACAGACATCCACAAGGGTAATGTTTTTAAAAAGGGCCTCTGCTTCTATGTACTTAAAATTAATATAATACAGAATATAATGATTTTGTTTTCTTCAAACAGTGCTTTCCAGCCTTAATTAAGTAAAAAAAAAAAAAAACTCCCTTAAAAAATTAAGCATAGTCTTAACAAACGTTAATAACAAAAAAAAATGCACTGATTGCTTCACTTCCTACCTTATCCTGTGGGTCCTCAGAGTTTGAAAGTCACTGCTCAAGAGTAATTACTTTATTTCAATTTTGACATTAAATATTTCATGTCTACCTCACTTACTAGTCACCTAAAAGTTTTCTGATTAGGAATGCTAAACGCATCAAGTCAAGAGCAAATCTAATCCAATCAAAGATAAAGATTTAAGTTATTGTTAGCAGTTCTCGTTTTAGCATAATGTGTGAAATTGCATTTATAAATTAAACTGTAAATAAATGGCAACTTACCATCATGATGCATCAAAGTTCATTTGTAACTCAGTTGTTTCCCATTAAAATATTATAAAATGTCTTATAGTTGCTATGCTGGTCTGTAAAGGTTACTTAACTTTAAAATATAATAAAGAGTACTACCCACCTTTACTAATACTGTCCCAGTGGAAAAAAAAAACACATAAAAATTCGGACAAAATGGAAACACATCTTCCCAGACCTAGCCAAGGTCCCTTCTTTCCTCCTACAGAGAGAAGGGAAGGAACAGGGGAAGGGTCAGGGGCTCTAGAAGGATCTGAGAACATGAAGAAGGGGGAAGCCTTCAAGAGCAGGGTCTCCAGCAACTCACACTCCTGGCTAAGTCTGGCAGGTCAGAACCAGAACTGAGGATATCCAATCCCACCAGCAGGGAGGGGAAGTCAAGAAATGCCTGCCATCTGCTACTGATTGGGTGGGGAATGGAGCTTCTCAAGTCAAATGGTTTGGGGCAAGAAATTTTTTTTCTTTTTAACAGAATACAGTATATCTCTTTTGTATTTGTTTATGAACTCAGTAAACATTTCCTACACTTCTATACATCATATATAAAAATAGCATATGCTTACAAAAAAGATATAGGCATACATCAGAGATACTGCAAGCTTGGCTCCAGACAATCACAATGTGAACGATATGAATTTTTTGGTTTCCCAGTGCATATGCAAGTTATATTTACTCTATACTGTAGTCTGTTAAGTATGCAACAGCATTATGTCTTTAAAAAATGTACATTTCTTAAATAAAAATATTTTATTGCTAAAAAATGTAACCATCATCTGACAATGCAGAGTTGCCACAAAACTTCAATTTGCTGAAAATCACAGTATCTGTGAAGCACAATAAAGCAGAATTCAATAAAACAACGTATGCCTCTGTGTGTGTGCACATGTGTATGCCAAGAACAACTAATTTCTAATGCTATGTAATTAGACAGACCTCCAAAAAATAACTCCTACTAAAATAATGAACAAATTTCATTTTAGACTGACTAACCCTTCCCCCACAAACCCTCGGAAGGTGAAAATACTCAAATATACTTGAAATGATGAGTAAAAACCTTAAAGTAGATAATTAAATTCTTCGTCCCAAAAGAGAAAGCTTCACAGAAATTATCAAGGAAACAATGATGTTAATCATCAAATGTTGCTTTTCTTCCAGACTTAGATAACCACTAAGGTATTATTAGAGCATGGTTCTTATAACAACACAAAGTGAGATTCAAGTCACTGGTCTTTTTCTTCCTCAGGTAAGTTATTACTCTTCAGCTCAATTCTGTATTTTCTTGATCTCAAAGATCTTAACTTCACTACCCTGTCAACCTACAGAAATACCCATAATCTAGTACCAATGCTTCTATACCATTTTCCTTCTCTAATTCTGGTACCGCTACGCTGCCTTATTCCTTGTAGAGAAAACAACTTCCTTCTTCTGGATGTGAATTGGCCTTACCATAAGGCCTTGGATGGAGATAGTAAAACCATATCCCAAAAGAAAATCTGCAAGCGATTTTGTAATAGAGAAGTCCACCAGCGTACAGCTAAAAGTATAAGTTGCTAAAGTCTAAAAACATATTTTTCTATCTCACCGCTTCAATCCCTGTGACTGTCACAAAAAACAGACTAAACTGAGTCTAAGCTGATGAGGTTCAAGATATAGCATACTGGATCCTTTTTTCCCTCCCCTCAAGCCCTCCTCCTTCTCTAATACTCCCAACAACATGCACACACACATGGACAGTTTTCTCTGCCTCTTCTCTTTGGAGAGACTATGAGTATGTATGTACATATAACACACAATTAGGATCCACTATACATTTTCACATTTCACTTCAACAGCCCCCTTCACAACTTGAAAAAGACAATAAAACTTATTATTTTAGACATGATTCTTAACAGTACTTTCAATTAAGATGGCGTTGCAAGTTTACATTTTGAGATTCCCCTTTGTACCAAACACAACACAAAATATTCAGAAACAAATTGAAATGACAAAGTTGTGCTCAAAAATAAGATAAAGAGAACAGAAATAGAGCCTAAGCATAGTACAATAGTTGCAGTTAAAGCTGCAAGTTACTCCTGTGTTTCAGATCCCAAAGTGGGTGGAGGCCGCTCTTATCACCAAGAGTACAAGGACTTAAAGTACCCCACTTGACACACAGTAATGGAGATAGGTAACTATGTGAAATCAAGATCTGAGGTGGTACTCCCTAGACCTTGAGGGAACTGGGGGAAGAAAACAATAAAAAAGCTGTGACTTCAGCAATATTTTCAGCAGCATCATGCGTATGTTCCCTTTTCTCAACATGAAGAATGGAAAGTTTCTGCCAGTTCTGCACGATACTAGTTTACTCTTAGAGATATTAGGAATAGAACATCTTAAGATAGAAAGCCAACTTCTAAAACTGCAAATTAGCTGAAATAATTTAAAAATTATATATTAACTAGAGAAAATTTCATTCTTAAATACAAGCAATATTTAATGGTAATCATACTTCCCGGTGAACAACACTGGAATTTTTAAATTCTGATATTTAGATAAAAACTCAGAAAATCTTAACTACTACAAATACAAAACCGAAAAAAGTTTAAATATGACAGCAGAAATTCTCACCTGTGTTTTGACTGTGATCTCTTTCTTCTAGAACGGGATTTTGAGCTAGACCTGGATTTTGAACGAGTATGTGAACGAGATCGACCGCCTTTTCTTTCATTGCTCTTTCCAGACTCTGGGAGGAAAAAACCACTTTGCAGTGTAAGCTCAGAACAATTAAAGATCCCAGTTAATAATCAGGCACAAGTGGAATGTACCACATATAGTGCAAGGGGCCTACTCTCTGTACATCCTCCTCCTGTGCAATTATCCTTCAGAAACATCCAAGAAAGTCATTGCATAAACTCGTTGAGTGCAGCCACCCTGCAGCAGTACATATAAACCAGATGATTATAAACAGCTGTTCGTAATATTTTGTTGCTGCCATAATGTACGATTATAACATGTCTGTAATTCCTATGACAGTGATTTTAAATCCTTTCTCCATGTATTTTCCTAGAACTGAAGCTTAAATTCTGAGTGCTAATTTAGAAAATTTCCTCAAATGTAAACCATCTAGACATTTTTAGCTTGGATTTTTAATTTCAGTTAGCAACGCAAAAGTTTAAATAGGTGTTCCTTTACCTTGCTAAAACAGAGTCTCCATATGTTTCCTAATCATCGGCGCTCTATTTTTAAAATAAAACTTTGAAGGAAAAGTGAATCTGCTTAATCATTAACATTATAAATATACTTATTCTTGCTTTTAGCCTCAGAATAACATTTATACTTTTGCTTTCAGCAAATCAGTTCTGAGCACTGATTTTGCTATTAAAATACAAAGAACTTACTGACTCCAGCTAATATATATCTCAATTCAGTATCATGGGGAAAGACCTGTGTGCTAAATAGTTCTCTGACCTTTAACACTAGTTAAGTCACTTACTCTTTCTTGAGTTTCAGTCGTCTTGTTTGTAAAATGAAGGGACTGAGCAAGATCATTTCTAAAATTCCTCCCAGTTCTAAGAGTCTATGACCTCAAACTACAATCTGTGTAACAGCACTGAGGTCTTACCTGGTTCAATAGCTGCTGAGATAAAGGACTGAGCCTCCCGTACTCGCTTCATTACTTCTTCTAACTCCTTAGCTGCAGCCTGAGGTGTCATCTCAGGGGGCTTTACTATTGCATTGTTGGAGTGATTTATTCTAAATTAAAAATATTAGCATATCACAAACACACCATATCTTACAAAACATGAAACAAATGTTTATATGATACACATACTTACAAATCTGGTATCTCAAAAACACACTAAGATTCAATCCCCAGTACCTCCAGTAAATAAATAAACCTATAGTTACCTCCCCCTCAAAAAAAAGTTTTTTAAAAAGCACAATAAGAATATAGCCAAATACAGAATAACCAAAACCAACCTCAAAACCACGATTAATCTCATTTCCACCTGCCATCATCTATTGCTAACAAAGGCAAAAGCAAGGGAGAAAAAAAGAAAAACTGAACCCTCAATAGTCTTTAACAAACTGAATAGATCAGGACAAGTGCTTTTCCACACAGCTTAGAATTATAATCAATTAAAATGGTAATGCCAATATTAAAATGAATCATTTCTATCTCAAATTGTAAGATTTTTGTTGATAACTTCTGCACCCTGAGAGAATGAAGGGGAAACTATATAAAATGTGTACCATTTTAATCAACCCTGGACAATGGCTAAGTCACACAACTTCAAAAGGGGGAGGCATCTGATAAAACTCTTTTCCTTACAGGTAAGAGTGGTTTCTCCGATGCACATAAATGAATTTGGTGTGTCCCTCTTTACTCTTTCCATGGTGAAAAGGGAAGCATTCGCTAAGAATAGTTATTTATCCTTTAATAGCATACATTATATAATTAACACAATCACCTACACAATTCAGATAAAACTGTTGCCTCAATTATCTACCTGAAATAGAATTTCTGGTCTTGAGTATCTGAAAAGCTACATCAATTTTTCATTTTACAAACAAGCACGTGCGCAAACCTTAAAACTCAAAAAGTATGATTTGAAACATTTTTGGGTACTTTTATTTTCTTCCCAAGATTTTGTATTTACCAAAATTCTTATTACTATATTCCTGTAAGTTTAACCCATATGTTAAATTGCCCATTATACTAGTGCAGTAACGCAAAACAAATCTAACTTTTTAAAGCTTATGGAAAAAGACCTATGACTGATAAGTATAGTACATAAATGTTAACATTAAATTAGACCTTATAAAACAGAAAATGTCTTCAAACGCAACTTTAACTTAAAGCCTAAAATGGTAAGTATCTCATTTGTTTCATTCATACTTAACACAAAGTCTTCCTTTCCACAAATTGCCAATTACTATTAAAAAGAAAAAAAAATCTTAATTACATCAAAATACTTCAAATTTTTTCAAAATCAATAGAATTTCTTTGTTTAGGGTTTCTTACTTCAGTGGCCTGTCTCCAAACATAACTCCATTAAAAGCAAGGGCCCTTGGTACAGAATTTTGGTCTGCAAATTCCACAAAAGCAAACCGAGTTGGCTGAGTCTCATCACCTGCCATCCGCACAAACTTCACTTCTCCAACTTGTTTAAAAAACTCAAGTAGTTGATCAGCTGTCGTTGTCTGAAACAAAGTAACACTTTAATAAAGTATATTCTTTAAAAATCCAGTAAATATTACTTTATCAATTGATACGATTCTTTAAGAAAGGAAAAAGAATAAGAGGTCCTACTACTCAATTCTTCTTAAATTAGTTACCTGGGAATTCAAATTGCCCACATAGACTGTTCTCCTAATTTCGTCAATTTTGGAAGGATCTACATTTCCCATAAGTGGTGGCTGTGGTATCTCTCCAAGTGTTGCAATGTTAGGGTCTAGTGCTGCTGCTGGTATAGCTCCCAAACTGCTAAGGGAAACACCCAGCTATTAAAAAAAAAAAAAAAAAGCACATATTTTCTGTTAGTATCAAGAATTACCTTTCTCTAATCTTGAAAAGTACTGATCAACTCAATAAGAATGAGAAAAGACTAGAGAGTTCTAACTTTAAGCCACACATGTATATGAATTATTGAGCGTGAGATTATAGTAGTTTTCAATGTAATTAGAAATACAACATTTCTTAACTATCTGGATATTTTAATTACTTTTAAGCTTGACACTAAAAACAGTCAACTCTGATTATTTGCAGTAATTACATCCTATAAAGTTTGCCATGAACACTGAATTACTAAATACTGAATCACGGTTCCTAGGGCAAATAGAGGGCTAGGTTCCTGCAAGCCTCTGGTCACAATAATTTTACCAAGCAATAAATACATGACCTTGTTTTACATGTGTTTCTGGATTTTCTTTTTTAAGGATACCTTATTTAATATATATTATTCACTCATTAACATTAAACTCATGGCAAAAAGCAGTATCAACTCATGCCTCATGAACGAACCCTATCTTACACAAGTATTTTCTCTGTAAGGCACGTCACAGCCTTCCAGTGCTTAGAAACACTGAACAGAACTTTAGTACTATGCCCGCGGGCTAATTTAAATCACCATTATCACCAACACAAAGAACAAAAATACGAAAAACATGGCACTAAGGGACCACCAAAAAAGCCCAGTTATTTTACAGCATTAAGGCTAAAACAAGAAGGCAGAGTGTTACTCTGTTTGACCTCATCTGGGAATGTACATATCAAGCAATTCAAATTTCAAATCATTCTGTCTGTGTTGATGAATGACTGCAAAAGCACAAGTTTTGAGGTTTCAAATAAATTTTAGCTAGTCTGTAAATTCACAAATAATGAGAATCAACTGTACCTTGGGCATTCAACAACACTATGTGAGTTCCTAACAGTAAGTAATAATCAAAGCACCTAATTTTTGCTAGGCTATTAACTTAATCTTCATACCAACTCTAAGAAAAAGGTATTACTATTATGCTAATATCACCAATAAATACAAAAACAGAGAAATTAAATAATTTTCCCAAGGCTACTTAGCTAACAAGTGTTTAACCATCATGCATAGACTAAAATTAAAAGATAAGTTTACCTAAGAAAAGAAACCTTTCAAAAAAATTACTTATACTATGGCAGAAAAAAGACAAAAACCTCTGAATGATCTTTCATAACATTACTAAAATCAGTGTTTAGTTCAAGCATTAAGAAACATGTTTTTAATGTGACTTTAAACTAGAAAATATAGAAAATCTCAGAGTTTGAAAATGAGAAACTTTGCAGAATTAACAGACTTTTCAAAGAAAGAAAAAAAAAACACTGCAACTTTCATTTCCACCTAGGCAATTTAAGTCAACTAAGTCAACTGGCTTATATATATTGTTACACTGTTACAAAACTACTAAAATTTAACAATTGTTAAGCAACAGTACTTCCTAAAAGTGAAAATACTAGTTTATGAAGTAAGTAACACTATGCTTGTCATAGCAGCCAGTGTGTGATCTTTTTAAGACCTGTCAAACCATGTTTAACTCCTGCTTAAAACCCATTAGAATAAAATCCAAACTTCTTTCCGTGGCCTAAAAAGCAAGGCCTACATACATCAGTGCCTATCTACCCCTCCAATCCCCAAACACCTACTTCCGCCCTCCCCAACTATGCTTCACAACGATGCTGACTGCCATCCCGCCATTCTATGTACCTTGAAGACACAAGTTTTTCTCACTTTATGGCTTTTCACTTGGTGTTCCTCCTGCCCTAGAAAGGTGTCCCCTAGCTTCTGCCGGCTGAGTTCTTCAATCATCAGGTTTATCATTCCCCTCCAAGAGGCTTTGCCCGAACTTATTTATAGCCTCATTTACTCCTTACCACATTACTCCGTTTTTTTTCCTTCATAGTATTAATATTCTGTGGGATACTGCTATTAACAAATCTCAGATTTTTGCTATCACCACTTCAAATTATCATAAAGTTGTAAAAATATCTTAGTTGAAAACAGGTAAGTGATCTACTGTCTCTACACATGTTGCTCCTGTAATCACACTCCTTCTTCCCTGACAACCTGTCTTTGATAGTCTAACAGAGATGACTGAGGGTCACATCTTTCTTTTTTTCCTACTGTGGAAGACAATTATTATACGTAGTTAAGCTAAACCACAAATGTGTGTCTTACTATTTGTTAGTTTTGCATGGAAATAAAACTAAATAGGCCTTTTCAGGTATCCCCAGCTGTCAATCCCTCTGACCTACAAATTTCTCCACTGGGACATACTGCTATTTAATATGTAGTCACCAATCATATATGGCTATTTGAATTTTAATTAAAAATCAGTGCCTCAGTCACACTAGCCACATTCCAAGTGTTCAATAGTCACATGTTGCTAGTGGCTATGACACTTGATAGTACAGTACAGATATTTCCATCATAGTACCAAGTTCTACTGGATGTGGCTGCTCTAATAATTCAATTACCCTTCTTTAGCTCAGTCTGTTTCCCAGCCCTGGTCTAAAGGGCCTTAGTATTTAGGCTGCCCTTTTGGTCTCTAATGGGTTGGAGATGATCTCAACTCTCGATACACCACTTTTGCCTTCTGACATAGAAATCTTGGCCTCTCTGAAAATGTGACTTTTAAGTAGAAACCTATGAAACGTTTCACTCTTATGAAAGAGTGAATCTTTTTAATGTTCTGAGAAGAGAATAAACAAATACAAAAGCTCTAAGGCAGAAAAATGTTTGGCATATCCAAGAAATAAAACCAAAGCGGCCGAAGTTGAGGGGAGCCAGGGAAACAGGTAGGGAAAAAAGGTCAGAGCCAAATTACAGTGGGTCACCTTTCCCCTCTTTTCTAACTAAAACTCTTCTTTATAAATTAAGTTTTATAATAACAGATATCCACAGCTGAATGAAAAGGAAATCATTTGCCCTCAAAGCAACAAATTAAATAATAAAAACTTTATATTGTTGATAAATAAACCCTAAGAATTTTCAAGATACCAAGACAATATTTTCTGGGAAAGGGAGAAAAAGGTGGTAATCCAGGAATTAATGTTAGAATATACCAAAACATACCCAAAATAAAATTTCTAGAAAGCCCAATTCAAATGATTAATGTTCAGTTAAAAAGCATCTTTCTCCCATGGATCACCATAAAGGGCTCTAGCAGAACAATGTCATGTAAAAATTAAAAGACCTAAAATTTTGCAATTCTGAGTCAGAAACTACTTTTCTAACTTGGATAAATAAACTACAATCAAAAGTTTATTGGTTTATTCCCAATAACCCAGTACCAAAAAGCTAGATACAACTTTCAATTAAAGTGAGTTTTGTATTTTGTCTTGGGTTCATTTTTGAAGAAAATAAATGACCAGAATCTTTTATATAAACAAGAACCCAGTAATAGCAAACCTTTTTTAACTCCACTTGGAAATCACAAAGGAGGCATTAAGTTATTATTTAATTCTGCAAAGTTAGTGAAAAAATGTTTTTACCATGTTATATTTTCTCAGTGACAGACAAATGCTTGCTATATTTTTTCCCATTACCAAGGTTGTGAATTAATTCCTATTTTTCAGATGGATTTAGTCCTCATGACTTGGGAAATACAGTTACCTAGATTCTCCAATTCCCCATGCTATCTAAAATGCTGAGTTTCAATCACCAATATTCCAATGAATAATATATTCTCAAATTTAAATGAATCCCAATTACTTCAGAAGCGATTCCAAAAGGCAGCTCAAGTCAGTGATAACATGGGGTAAAAAATCAAGCAGACATTTCTAATCCTCTCCATTTGCAAAAAAATGATTCAAAATAGAATGCTTTCTAAGCTTCAAAAAAAAAAAAAGTTTTCTAAACTCTTTATTCAACTGATTACATACGTGAATGTTCCCTGTTAGAAGAGGGTGCATCATACTTACCGTAGTCAAGGGATTTGGAGTCGGTATGGGAAGCAAGCCTGCACCAGGCATCAGACTGGTCATGGTTGGAGCAGGAGCCAACAAAGAGAGGGCTTTGGATTCCTCTGGGATTTTACCTGCAGAGGCAAGTTCCAAACATTACAGAAAGCAGAAACACCACACAAACTTTACACTATGATTTTACAATTACCCTTGCACTTAAAAAATAATAATAATAAATGAATCTATCTATCAGATCCGTATAAAGAAATAAATAAGAACTTAAGTCTTTCCTTTTATCCTGCTCTACTAGGAAAAATAAAAGTGAGCAAAACTTCAAAGACTAACAATTTCATTAATGGAATATTATTTTAAAAATTGAATAATGTAGACAATTATTTAACACTTTGAGCTATGGGTCACCTGTACTGGAAACTTAATGTTCATGAACCAAACGATATCAAGCATGGACGCTTTCCCAGGACGGTGTTTTCGCGGTGATCGAAAGTTGTGTTACACATGACAACCGTTCGTGTTGGCTGCATCACTAATAGCACACAGAACATCAGATACAGAAAAGAAGAACATTTTTTAAAGTTTAATCCCCAGAAATGGCAAATAACCAAATTAGTCAAAAAAAAGAAAAAGAAAAAACAAATATGTGCGAATTGAAATTTGTTCCTGAGTGTCCCTGTTAACTGAAACTACCTACTTGTGATGAAAACAGTTTTGATAACCTTGCAATAGATTCCATTCAATTTCAAGTAGACACAAACAAAAGCCTACTGCATGTCACCAGCTTCAACTGAAAAGGAAACCTACACCCACTCGGTTAATAAGGCATCTCACTAACAATGTCAGAAATGCCTAAAAGAACTCAATTCCAAAGAATATGCCTTGGGAAACTGCTAACACTTTTGAAAATGACTGACAAAAAAAGTTCCCTAGTCTCAAGGGAACTTCTTATATTATTGACTTGTAGGACCCATTTATGTATACTTATCTGAAGAGGGGTGGGTAATACTTAAATATCTTGCTTATAAACATCTTAACTGCCCAACAGTAATAACAATAACAAAATAATCTTAGACACTAAAAAGAAAAAGAAATCCCTATGACTAAAAAGTAAAATTTATTCTGAAATAAGTCCATCAATTTGTCATATTTAATTAATGAATTCTAACCAATTAACTTTGATAAGGACTGCAACTTTCACACATTTTTTTTCTGGTCCTTTCTCTCAACCCCTCCAAAAAGAAAATTTCTAAAATGTTGACTACATACAGCTATTTTAAAAGAACTACTATAATTATGTGGCAGTTGCCTACACATTTCCATTACAAATTCTTCAAAAGTAATTTAAAACACAGTGTATAAAGTCACGCTAAATTGAAAACAGCATGTGCAGTAAATTTTCAAAAAGCACCATGCTGGTTTCTGTGGTAAAAATTCTACTGAAAACCGCCAGATGTGCAGGGATGAATCTCTAAACAAAATTATCTGAATGCATTTCTAAACACGGATGGAATTCAAGATAAATTTTTAAATTTTCTTTAAATAATGGTTATAACTTATAAAATACAAATAGAAAAATTACATTTTATTAGCGTTAGCAAATGTCTACTTATTTCTAACCTTTGCAAATCTAAGTCTATATTACATTTGCTAATTTCAAAAACAAAGTTATTTTACTATTTCAGGGTAAATTCTGCATAAGCACAAATTTTAACATGCATAAAGATAAATAAAAGGTAGGTAGGCCTTATTGAAAAACATCAAATAACAATATTTTCTATTTATTAGTTACTAGCATTAACACAATTATCTGTATACTCACATATATACTGTACTATTTATTGCTATTAGACCTGTTTTATCTGCCATAAATAGGTATTACTTTTTAAATGTTTACATAACCTGAACATATCTTAATAAATAAACTGAACTCCTAAGGTGGAAACCCTATGCTTCACTGCCCTAATTTGAGCACCTAGAAAACAAATAAAGGGTTCCAAGCTAGTAATGTCCCCCATTTAACATTACTTGTCAATTAAATAAGCAAAACTATCCATACAAGACAGTGTAGAAGGACTACACAAACAAAAAGGTTATTCAACACAGGCCAAAAGTTGATTATAATAATATAAAGTCTTTCACTGCTGTCTTAAAAAAGTATCACTAGATTGTCTGACTCTCAGTGCCTTTCACAGTATAATAAACTATTGTAAGTATTAAGTCTAACTATAAGTATAATATATTTTTTCTTATTCTAATTACCATTAAAGATGCTTTAAGAAAAAAGTTCCATTCGCTTAATTCCAAGATAGAATTCAACCAAATGTACCTTCTAAATACTATCAGCATGTATAAAGTATAAAACAAATCAGCATTTAGCATTTTCCCCAAACTACCCTCCTCAAAGAGAAAAAAAAATCTCTCACTTGTCCTAATCTCAGAATCCATTTAGAAACTAGTAATCTCTGAACATTTTCAACAAAATATTCAAGCAAAGAGAGAAATACACACAAGTATTCAACAGTTTCTCAAATATCCAGTCCCCACATAGGCAACTAAAAGTCTTTTTAAGTCAAGAAAGTAACTTATTGTCTACAATAAGTAACTATCATAAAAGTGAAAAGTCTCTTCTTGTCCTCTACCCCCAGATTGTTATAAGAAATTTAACTTATTTTCCTTGATGATTTTGTATGCCTAAAATTCTAGGGGTAAAGATGAAAATTAGAAGCTATCAGTTGGTTTTTATGAGAGATGCAGGCTTGGGAGAAAACTGCACAAATGTTACACTGAGATCAAAGAGTGTCCTAAGAATCTCATCAGTGTTTTAGGGTTTCAAGCACAAAATGCACCTGATCAGTCTATAAACACCAATTAAGACTGGCACTGAGCTTCACAATACTGTACCCTAATTTACTGTGAAAATTTACTTTGTTAAGGTTGAGCTCTACTAATCAACTCCCAATACAATTCGCAATGCAATGTTATGAACCCTTAATGGAATACCATTTACAAAGAACTGGAAAACCAGCTCACAAGTTAAAGTAAAGAGATTTAACAAAACAAAAACAAAAACAAAAACAAAAAAAGGGACAAAATAAAGAAAAAAAAGAAATGAAATTAAAGTAAAACAATAAAAAACAGAGACAGGGCGTCCATCTTCTGCGGTTCAGACTCCGATCTCATTTCCCCAATGAAGGTTTCACTTGACGGCAGGTTTAGTGGCATGGCAAACAATGCCTAACTCAGGCAAGTGTAACAGGTCTGCCTTGGCCAGTCTAGTCATCTAATAATGCACAAATATCACATAGAGAAAACATACAAAACCAAATTAATAGTCAAAATCCATCTACCAGAAAATGTGGACATAAACTTATGACTGATGATTAGGCTGACACCCTGTTATGTCTGATCTTAACTTTTTCTCAGTGGTAACATTTATAAAAAGAAATCTGAGATGCACGCAACAACAAAAAGAGGTCATATCTGGACGAGTATAATAAAAATATATTTTATTTTGAAGTGGCATGTTTTATTAACAGCACCTAATGCTTAATATGCATGAAACTACTACACATCAAACATTATTTATACAGCTTAGGATCTTCTCACAATACTACTGTCTGCATTTAAAAAAAAACAGCAAACTGAAAGAAAACGAAAAAACTTCTTAAAATTTTTTCTATGGTTTTCTCATTTCTTTCATAATGCTGTTTCTATAACATCAAGGAAAGAATGCAATCAGTGAAGTAAACAAGATTGCTTACAGCACCACAGAACATCTCTTACAGAACTTACTCCACTGGGACTCTTTCCTTTGATTTGTTTCAAACTCATTTTGCTACCTTCTAGTACAATAATACAGTATTATTACTCAGCTTGCAGTGCATAATCAGATACTTAACACCTCACTGCGACATTTCTCAGGTTCTATGAATTCAACTCTGTTATATTTAGTTTAATTAATAAAAAGTGTGTATCTGAATGTTTTTCTAGTACCAATTATTTTATAGCTTAGTGTTCTAAAATACAACTAAATTGGAATAAAAATACGTTTAAATTTCCATGTTCAAAAACTGTGAAATTTTGTCTCAAAACGATAACATTAAAAATATTCCAAAACTATAATAAATGTGCATTTATTCATTTATATCAAATAAAACAAGCAAAAAAGGGAACCTCTATATGCCCATAATCTTGAACATTTATGACAAACCATGGTCACTCCTCAAATGCATGAAAAATTCTATGGGAATACAGCAAGGTTCCAACAAAGCAACACTAATAAAATTCTTCCCTCCAATTCAGTAAGTTAACATCATACAAGATTCTGTACTGCTGGTGGCATTAATTTTTTGATACAATTAATATTCCCATTTAATAAATCATCTACTTGATATTTTTTCCCATGCAGTTTATTTGATGTGAAATTGGTATGAACTTAGTATGCAGAACTAAACCACAATAGCTCTTTTCTCACCTTGTTCTCCAATTCTGGGGTCACTGTCCCCTTACAGATCAGTAGATAAGGACAGATTTCACAAACAGTTAACTGTAATCCACTCTAACTCCCAGGAATGGGAAAAATACTTTCAAATTTATCTGAAAAAACCTAGAAAGTTCTATTCTGGGACTTCAAAAATAACACAGTAGTACTCACTGTATCTGACTGTCATGTTTTTGACATCCCAGAACAGGCATTCTGAAATAAGCATAAAACCTTAAAAGTGCAGCAAACTTTTATAATACTTAAAAAAGGTTTTAAGACATTACCTATGAAAACTCATTAAATTGTTTCAGGTAAATTTTTTATGTTGTGGCACAGTTACCATCAGTCACCAGTGAAAATATATTTTAAAGACATTTAAACTGTAATAACCCAATTCTAGAATGTACACATGCCACAGTCAGTGCTCTAAATACAAATTAATTACACACCAGAACAGTCAAATTCAGCACAGCCTATTACATGTGAGTGGCTCTGTAAACAAAAGTTACTAAAAAATAAGTATTAATAATAATTAGCTTTTAAAGCAGGTTAAGTCATAAAATTTAACAAATAACTATAAGGCCTTTGGCCCTGTTCCCACCTTCAACAACTATTTCCTCGACAGAGGCTTTGGAAAATTGCTTTCCATAATTTTTCATCAATTACCACCCCCCCGCAAAAAAAGCCAACAAAATAAAAAAGTAAATTCCAGTTCCACAGTAAACAATTACACTGAATACGAAATAATGGTCTCAGTAACAATTAAAGTAAATTACCTTAAGAGGATACTTTAAAGCTTAAATAATGAATATTTTTCTCAAGCAAAAATATGACTACCTAACCCCAATTTGGCAAAATGTGTACACTGCTTTTATTTATTATCATTAATGTTATATACACAGGGGAAAATACTTATCTATATATTTAAAATAATTTCCTCCACCAACTTAATATTTTAATGTCAGGAAGCTTTCTTTGCAACAAATTAAATATAGAAAGCCAAAGCAAGCCCAAGAAGTGAAGTAATTTATGAATTTTTAAATGTTTAGTTATAAATCTCAAACATACATAAGTAATGAATTAACCATTTTAATATATATTATTATTAGGTAAAACTCTTTCCTTCTCCAAATTTTACTTTTACTTACACACAAATACACATACACACAAACACCAGAGTACTATCTACTCGCCAATTTCTAGGAAAGCCAATGGTAGTAACAGACAGGATAGAGATCAAAATAATTTTAAAAACATATGAGATACCAACCTTCTGCACAAGGAACAACTATGAGAGCTCTGTCAATAAAAACCGTGTTAGTTAGATGCTGGGCCACGCCAACACTTGATGGGTCACGAAACTTAACATAACATACTTTGGAAGAAAAAGCAAGAGGTGCGTTGCTGCAAGATAAAAAGAAAAACAATTGAACTAATAAACATCTGGTTGGTTTTGTCATTCTCATTTAAAATTTCTTTCTTAGATCTTTATGTAATCTTACATAATCAAGGCAGGAATTTTTATTGCTAAGGATCATTAAGACATGAGACAGCAGAACTTAGTCTTTTAGTGGCAATTTGTCTACAAAGACTGAAGGCAATCTAAGCAAGCTTACAATCTTTTTGTTAAAAACGTGAAATTTAAATTTACACATTCTTAATCTCAGTGTAAAGTGATAACAGCTGATTTAACCCAAATATGTTCAGTTAGTACATCACCATAAACAGGCAAAAATCCCTTTTCATAAAAGCACCAATCCTCAAGACTTCAAATTTTGTAACCACCCCCAATCCTTCCTTATGTGATTCCTGGCATGTAAATCACTAAAAATTTCACAAGAGTCTTAGAAACAATGATAACCAGAAATTAAAATCAAGGTCTTTTGCATATACTAGACTTCTTCAGGCTAGGCAGCTTGTGATTTTCCAAGAAGAAGATTTTACAAACACAAGTTTACGTATTTTATATGCAAAATAGCACAGACTCATAGATTCAGCTCAGTCTAGGCAGGTCTGTTAAAAAGAAGCCAGACAGAGCACAGATGAAATCAATTTTTCCATAATATTAATCCATCTTGTTAGACTCCAAAATACACTATTCACATGGAGGATGATTTTGTCAACTTGCCCATAATTACGTTCAATTAAAGTCTATAACTGAATTGGCAAGTAAAAAAGGAACCAAACTAAAGATGTATCTAATGTTTAACATAAATGTACAATCCTTTTAAACATTAAGGTTTTTCACACTAAAAAAGATCATTTGAAAGATACCAAATACGCCTTGTGCAATAGCAGTAATTTCTTTACAAAAGACATCAAGGAAGCTGACCATAATCTTAGACCTAGTAAATGGCAAAGATGGGATTTACAGCCTAATCATCTAATTCCACATCTCATGCAACCTTAATTACTCAATTAATCAAGAATTCTAAAGCCACTTTAATATACTATTAACATACTCTTTAATTTGTAAATTCATAAATATTCATCATTTTTTAAATTTAAAAATTACATATAGAAACAACTCCATCTTGATAATGGCTAAATATATTTATGATACTAACCAAACACTGATAATAAAATAAATAGCATCTAAAACTAGAAACTATTTATACTGTTATTAACATAACTTAACTAGTCAGGCTAATTAAAGTAGCAAAAACTCTACTTTCTCACCCAACCCATCAATTCACTCCTGCTGAAGGCCATCCTATTCAGGCTTCAGGCCAGCCCTCTCCAACAATCTCTTCCTACTCAACATCTAAGCCACCTAAGTCATTTTATGTATATTTGTCATGAGGTAAATACATTTGCATATAGACTTTACCAGCCTTTACATTACCAAATCTCCAATTTAGGCATCTCCAGAGCTCTAGATACCGAGAACCAAGTGCGTTCTGGAATTCTGCTCACCTTGGTCACAGGGCCCAATTCTGAACTTTTTCTTAAATTCATCATCCTCCTTCCTCACCAATCCTGTCCTTTGTCCTGTATTTCCTATCTCAGTTAAAGATACTACCACATTATCCAAGTCAGAAATCTGGGAGTCACTAATTTGACCATCAATAGTACTATTCACCAAATAGTCACAAATCACCTTCTGGCTACATGGTAAAATTCCAGTTCGTTCCTCAAAGTTAGGTGTGGCCTTGCAATCTGCTTTAGCCAATTAAACATGAGCAGAACTGACACGTGTTAGTAGCTTTAAGGGCAGTTGCTCTGTTCTCTTCCTCTGCCATGGTGACCAGCAACATTCAAGAAATGAGTGGCTGATACATCTGCTTCAAGTGACCACGACAAGCAGACTTCTCCACTCCCCCAGTTTAGTATAAGAAATAACCTGCTTTTATCAAACTACTGACATTTGTGGGTTATTTCCATCTTTCACTTTCCCCCCTTCTTCGTCATACAATTGGTCTTTAAATCCTATGAAGACTACCTCCCAAATATTTGTCACATTAATTCTTTCATCACTCATCATCAATGCCTTCACTCAGGCCCTCAATCATTTCTCGCTTGGATTACTACAACGGCTCCTAACCAATCACACTGCCTGCAATCTCAACTGCTTATTAAGTCTTTCACAAAAGTTGCCGGAGTAATCTTTTTAAACCTTAAATTTTGTTATGTCACGCCACTGCTTAAACTTCCTCAGAGATACCCTTCTGTTCTTGCTTTATCATCTAAATGCACCCAAAAATCCAGGCATGTAAGACTTGTGGTTCCCTTGACACATTCTGAACATCTGGGCCATCTCTCTACATGTTTCATTTGTCTATGATGTCCTCTCTCAC